TATAAAAACTCAACTCAAATTCTTAATCATTATTACATATAAAGTTTTCTAACAAATAGATTATAAGATTCTTCAGTCAACTGGTGATGTTTGAATTATGTTTGATGAAGAGTGTCAATAACTGCAGAGTTTTAAAATCACAGCCGAGCTGTGTTGATTCATTAAGTACAATTTCAATACAAATCTAAGGGAACATATTCCCAAAGTTTGATTCAAGCAAAAGCTGTTTAATGCACAATACTTTCTAGAACAAAATGCTGCAGGAAACCTAGAGTGTTGTTACCTTGCCTTGCGGCAGTAATAGTCTATCTCCCACCAAGCATTCCACTGCATTAATTTCAAACTCTGAAACTGTTTTTCAGGCGAGTTAACAACTGTTAATGATTATCAAAACACAAATATCCACATAAATATGCAACTTCCAGGGAACAGTTTTTAACATTTTCTTCCACATGACTTATTGATGATGGTATGACTAATAAGTTCACATAGTAGGAAACAACACAAGAGAATAATATTACCCTTCAATTCAACTGTGTTATCATTTACTTGGTGTAAAAAAGAAGAAGAAGAAGAAGAAAAAAAAACAGTGTTATCATTCGTCTGATGCAGTTCAGTCTCTCAGAAATTCTTTCTTCATTTGACAACTATAGACCATGCAATGTTGTTTTATTCGTAGTGGAATCGTGTCGGCCTCTGGAGAAAAACACTCAAGTCCACCCAGAAAATTTTGTTGCATTAGCCAAATGGAGGCTCTTAAATAGATTGCATGACAGGAATGAAACATTGTATTTTAGAGTAAGTTTGATGCTCTAGTCAGGTTGTAGTGTTTATGTGCATTTTTTAAATTTGGAATCATCTGAGGGTTTCCTGCTTTTCTTTTTTGCTCTAGGTCCTAATGAATAACATCAAACATTTTGCTCCAATAATGTACACTCCTACTGTAGGATTGGCTTGTCAAAATTACTCAGGGTTGTTTAGACGCCCACGTGGGATGTATTTCAGTGCAAAGGATAAAGGAGAGATGATGTCTATGATCTATAACTGGCCAGCTCCCCAGGTAAAGATTTAGATCTTGCAAGGGTACTATAGAATGCCTGCAACATTCTTTCTTTCTATTTTTCATTTTTCTTTAGATGAGATATTAATGTTTCTATTTCTTGAAGATGGATGGTGGGGACGAAAAAGGAGTTCAGGTTACCAACTGAAATTCCTAAGTATCCACCTTTTAGCTATATTCCAAGATGCAAAACTGACTTTAACCATAGTTTGAATTAGATTCTTAAATCAAGCATTCCAATCTTTCCATTTTGGTATTAAATCTTTTGAATTGTCTGTTTCTTTCTTCGGTCTTCCCTAAAAGCTTCCTTAACTCTTTCCAAAAGATTTTGTATGTGAAATACCTTTATAGAACATGTTGCACTCTCGTCAGTAGTATATCTAGATTAAACTTCTGTTTAAACAGTGCACGGGAATGCTCACTATTTCAATAATTTGAGTCATCTTTCATTCAGAAAATGCAATCTAGTTTTCATTCAGCCCCTTGTCTTGACTGATGGTTATCTTGCTTTCCTCTTTTTCTTTGCAGGTAGACATGATAATTGTCACAGATGGAAGTCGTATTCTTGGCCTTGGTGATCTTGGAGTTCAGGGCATTGGAATAGCTATTGGAAAACTTGATATGTATGTTGCTGCCGCTGGTATCAACCCACAACGAGTATGAGCTAACACCTCTTTTTCAATTCTGCTCCAGTGTGCATAACAATTTTTGTTCATGAATGATTCATGTGCCTGTTCACAGTTTATATAACTATGCTTTGGTCTTTGTCGATACTTTAGACATGAAAATAACAATGCTTGGAAAGGATTGTTCACCACGTACATTAATTTAGGTAGTGTGCTGGCTTGTTAGAAATTTTTATGATAGACTTAACTATTGGTTATATTTTTCATATTCATGCACATGTATATTTGTTAATGAGCAGATGGTATATTTGTGAATTTCTAACTATTCGGTTCAATTTTGCTCAAAAGGTTCCTTCTTCTTCTTTTCCTTTTTTTTTTTTTTTTTTTTTTAGGGCTAGTTCTGTTGCCATAGTCCTTTTCTGCTATCCCTTTAATTATTCAATCAACATCTCTCTCCAACAGATACTCCCAGTTATGCTAGATGTTGGTACCAACAATCAAAAGCTACTTGAAGACAGGCTTTGTGAGTAAAATGGGTACACAATTACTTAGATCTTTAAAAATCGTTTCCTCTTATGATATGCGCTTTAGAACATTCTTTTGTGAGTTGTTTGTGATACATTTTTACATTTTTGACTCACAGATTTAGGGGTTAGACAACCTAGGTTGGAAGGTGAAGAATATTTATCGATTGTTGGTGAATTCATGGAAGCAGTTGTCAAACGTTGGCCCAAGGCTATCATACGGGTATATTTCTTTAAGAAGTAGAATTTTCTGTGGCATGTGTTATATTTGTGTCTACCAAGTTGTTAATTGAATGGTTATGCATTTCAGTTTGAGGATTTTCAAATGCAGTGGGCCTTTGAAACTCTGAAACGGCATCGGAAAAGGTTTTGCATGTTCAATGATGACATACAGGTTAGTTCATAGTGAAACGTATTGCTATTTATATGGATTAAAGGAGCAGCAAATGTACATTGTTGTTTGATATCATACTTCCAGAATGAATGTCCTCAGTGAATGTGTTATAGGGGACTGCTGGTGTTGCACTTGCGGGATTATTGGGAACTGTTAGAGCACAAGGTCAACCATTGGCTGACTTTGCAAACCAAAAGATAGTTGTTGTGGGAGCTGGAAGGTACTAGCAACAGTCGATTATAACAAGCTTATACCTGAAACTTAGTGCTTTCAATGCTTCTCTGTGTACATCCTTGTAGCCTTCTTTTTCATCTTATTCAATTTTTGTGGCTTCCAGTGCAGGGTTGGGTGTTCTTAACATGGCTGTGCAGGCTGTTTCAAAGATGACAGGAAATAATGAAACAGCTGCACGCAATTTTTTCCTAATTGATAAAGATGTATCATTCTCAGCTTTTAAACTTCAGCAATCTTTTCATGCTCCTTTGCATACCCTCCTCTATGTTCTTTATGACATCTAATTGGTCTATTCCGTTGATTAATGTAATGCTTGGAATCTTGGATGATCATACCAAAAAGAACCGAAAATTACTTTGAAGTAATGTAATTGTTTCATTGGTTTTCTTTTGTTCATGCAAACTCTACTCTGGCTGTGGGAATACTCTACAGTTAGCTATTCACAGATTTTAAAGCATCACTATTTGTCACTTGTGCAGGGTGTTATTACGAAAGAAAGGAAGAATCTTGATCCACCGCCAATATTGAAACAAACCAAACAGCGCGCAATGAATAACAAATCCGAACCAACTTCTCTTTTTCTCCCTCCCTTCTACCCGACTTCGTTCCCAAACCCTATATAACACTTTCCAGTCTTCTTTTTTTTTTCTCATCTCCATTCACTGATATATTCATCGATTTCGTCGACCTCTGCATTTCTAAAGTTAATTAATTTGTTTACTTTTGAATTTTTCCAATCTAATTGAGACTAAGTCTCGAACCCTCGAACTCACGGTATTGTCGGCGGAAGATCTCCGAGTTAACAACAGAAATCCGAAAAAGAATGCCTTTGTCGTCGTTTCAATCGACCCCTTCAACCATCGGATGACCAAGACTGATGCCCAAGGAGGAGGATATCCTACTTGGAACGAGAAATTCGTCATGGACTTGCCGGCCAGGGAGCGATTCATCATCCTGGAAGTTAAATGCAGGACTTCTTCCGGAGATAGAAGGGTAGGTTCGGCCAAGGTTCCGGTTTCCGAGTTTATAGGAGGGTATGCGCCGGGGGACTGCTTGCAGTTTTTAAGTTTCAGGTTGTGGGATGCGACGGGGCAGCGGAACGGGATAATAAATTTCTCGGTTAGAGTGAAGGGACCGGAAAGGGAGTATTTGTCGGCGGTACCGCCTGCAACGGCGGCGATGGGGATGAGAAAATTTCAAATTGATGGGACGGAAACTTCGGTGGAGTTGTTTCGGGGATTCCTGTTTGGAGTGTAACTCGTTAATAATGCTCTCTGTTTGAAATTGTGTATATCACCAATTAAGAATGAAATAGATAAAAAAAAATTAGAGATTTTTATTTTGATTAAATCTCAATTTTAGTTTTTAAATTTTAATTTTTAAATTATATTTATCTCTAAATTATTTTACTTTTTTTTTTTCAACCCGGAAAATGATATATTCTTCCTTTCTTTCCTTATTTAAGGTTTTAGACCTATCCAAAATGTC